CGATGCGCCATATTTCAGCTCCGCCCACTTGATATATTGACCCCTCGTGAGAACGGGGTACGAGGCAAAACAATCTCTTCCACAGCGCAAAATGAGGCTCGATGCCCAAGAACAGCTCGTAAAGAGCTACAAAACCCGCGATGTGCAAAATGGAGGCGGGTGTAAGGTGATGAAGCTGGAGTCCGTAGAACTCCAGGAGCCCCTGGAGAAACGGATGTGTGGGAAATCCGAGCCCCCTTATTAGATAAGGGACGAAGCACACCCTCTCTCCTTTGGAGGGATTGGGGGTGTTCTCCGCCTGCTTTCCACCTTTGTAGGTGGCCAGTCCGGCTCGAACCGGAACAATGAAGGCTGGGGGAAGGTATCCCTCGGCCTGGAGCGTCACTAGCTCGCTATGCGGGACTGAACATCTCCTCCAATCTCCGAGCTGAGGGCTGGGAGCGCGAGAGGAGGAGTCGCGTCGACTATCCATGATGGAATGGATTTTTGTCAGAAGCGCTTCGATGAGTACTCGCGGAAGGAGGATGGTGTGATTCGGATCTAGATCCTTGCTCCTCTTATAGGCAGCTTATTCGCACAGCTAGGGGGTAAAACATAAAAATACCCTGGCCTTTCGCATTCATACGACACGTGGAAGAGGGCCATTATTGGGCGTGGAAGCCAAGGAGCGCAACATTTATAAGGAAGCCGGACACTATTCGGCAAGCACATGGAATTTGGAGGAGAACCCGCCTTGCAACGCCGAAGACAATATACGCGCCGGACTCGTCGTCATTGAAGCCTGGTTCGGGGGCTACTGAGGGAGTCCTGGACTAGGGGGTGTCCGGATAGCCGAACTATCATCATCGGCCGGACTCCAAGACTATGAAGATACAAGATTGAAGACTTCATCCCGTGTCCGGATGGGACTTTCCTTGGTGTGGAAGGCAAGCTTGGCGATACGGATATGTAGATCTCCTACCATTGTAACCGACTCTGTGTAACCCTAGCCCTCTCCGGTGTCTATATAAACCGGAGGGTTTTAGTCCGTAGGAAAAAACAACAACAATCATGCCATAGGCTAGCTTCTAGGGTTTAGCCTCCTTGATCTCGTGGTAGATCCACTCTTGTACTACCCATATCATCAATATCAATCAAGCAGGAGTAGGGTTTTACCTCCATCGAGAGGGCCCGAACCTGGGTAAAAACATCGTGACCCTCGTCTCCTGTTACCATCCGCCTAGACGCACGGTTCGGGACCCCCTACCCGAGATCCGCCGGTTTTGACACCGACAGTAGGCGTGTAGGATCAATGAACAATCACACGCGACTTCGCGTGACAAATGTTTGTGTTAGGCCACCTCGCACAAACGTTTCCACATAATAATTGTGTGTGATGTACATACTAACGAAAACGTTTGTTTGGGATACGGTGTGTGGGATGTACATATGAATGAAAACGATTGAGCCTGTATAATTGTCTGCGATGGCTCGCCCGATCGCACATGAGCTCTTTTTGCCCCGCATGTATGACCGGAGGACCTATCACCGACGGTTTCTGGGTCATGTGGGAAGGACGCCCCCACCCTATCGCGCACACTGGCAAGGTGATGGTTTAAAACTCTGACGCGGAAAGGCGGTAAAAATCGTTTGTATAGGACATCTCTGTAGCAGTAATTGTTTCGTACTTGCCTGCTTTTCTCGTTCACGTTCTTCATCCGTGCAGGTACCTAGGACCATGAAGAGCGAGCGACAAAGAGGCTAAGTGTAGGGATACTGTGATGTGTTATTCTGAACACCAGTGACAGAAAAGTTTAGTACAGTAACACGGATCCTATCTCTAGGGATTCAAGAGGTGTAGTCATTAAATATCCAATGCTTTTGTCTGATTATTGCTATCTTAATTACCGGGGGCAGCCCCGCCCAACGGATAGGGCCTTCGGTTGGACATCTGACTCTTGATGCAGGATGTGTGCCAGTTAAGACGTAATTTGGGCAGATCCTTCACTTCAATACGTAGCAAGCACATCTCAATGGATGACTTGTAGGGCACAAATTAAGATCATAATGATCCCGATGCAAATATATGGTTGTAAGCATAAGTCCTCATACACATGCCTATTTTTATTATAAGTGTTTCTAGTGTAAACTTATTCTGATCCGGTCAAAAGATGGAATTTAATTCTCTTGTAAAAGCTTGTTAGAAACCCTTTACTTAAAGGGTATCATCCTCTCGTGGGTTCGATAACTCAAGGTCACTTCTGGGGGAAAGGAGAGAATTCTTTCTGCTCCCTTACTAGATCAGTAAAGGGATTAATCAACTCTAGCAAACACACTCCTCGCCTGCGTGGCTCTCCTTGGACTGTAGGAACACGCTCCTCAGGCATCACTGACACAAACTGCACCATAAGCCTCACAATGAAAGGTGGCACTCATCTCTTGTTGCAGCCATCAGCACATCAGAAAACTAATGCTCACCTAGCGAGCCCATACAACCCTCTCTTGCTTGGCTGGTTCCATTGCCGGAGATGGGCAGGGGAGGGGGAAGGGGTGTTCTTGGAAGGCTGGAAAGGTGGGGGGCAAGGTGTCAGTGGAGAGGCATCGAGCGCAATGAACTGGATGTTTTTATTCCAGGGATCCCATTGTTTTCTTTTGACACACATCGATTGGTGGGTCCAAAGGGTCAAATGAGTCCCCTCTCCATTAATGAAGACATAACAAACTGGTGGGTCCCAAAGGGTCAAAAGAGTCTCGTCGTTGCAGTTGATGTGGGGAAGTGATGGGTCCCAAAGACGAGGAAAAAAGTCAACGAAGACCGCAACCTAATGGTAACTCAAGCAAACCACACATGATGGCATATAGCTAATTTCTTCATAAATGGTACTCCCTCCGTCTAGGTGTGTAAGTCATCCTAGGTTGTGCACCGCGACCAAGGCGGAGTGGAAAACGAGAGAACTTAATGTTTTTTTACTAATTGATAGCATTGCATGCAATGAGCTAACCATTGCATGTCATGTTTGTTAGTCTCAAGTCATTAAAAGCATGCACGGCTCACATCTCTTATTGGTTGATATGTCACGAAACCAGAAACGATGAGGAAGTTAATGTACCGTGCCTAAGTGTTTTGGGATTATTTGATTTTCGTAAGGTGACTTACACACCTAAACGAAGGGAGTAGAAGCACATACTAAATTTGATAAGTTTCAGTACTCCCTCCGTCTAAGTGAGTAAGTCGTCTTAGGTTGTGCACCGTGACCAAGGAGGAGAAGAAAACGAGAGACCTTAATGGTTTTTGCTAATTAATAGCATTGCATGCAATGAACTAACCACTGCATGTCTTGTTTGGTCGTCTCAAGACATTAAAAGCATACATACCCCTCATCTCTTATTGGTTGATATGTCAAGAAACAAGAAACGAGGTAGAAGTTAATGCACCGCGCCTAAGTATTTTGGGATTATTTGGTTTTCATAAGATGACTTACACACCTAGACGGAGGGAGTAGTAGTCTTCGAATACCCGAGCTAGATAGTGGCACAAACCAAAATATTTTTATAGATTTTAGGGAATGGATTGTTGGGGGTGAATCCCCGGACCTTCTTTTGAGGGATTAAAGAATTATAGGAAAGAGCTATAGATGCTCTAAAAGCATCTACAAGCGGACCCCACCCTCCATTTTCCTTGTATGTATGGTTGTCACCCTCCATTTCCCTTCTATATGTCCGGATTGTCCAGCACGTGGACACGTCCACCACGTCAGCCCAAATCCCAACCAACCCACCTTGGCCCTACCTACAGCCACAAAAAAAATTCCTCTCTCTCTCGTTTTGAACGAGGATAGAGCACAAGGTCATAGTCCGTGACCTAGCGTCCCTGCTCACGTACAACGCTTCCTCCGCTGCTCGCAGCCCTGCCCCTAAATCTCGCGCTACGACTGACGGTCTGACGTCGTCCCTTGCTGAAGGTAACGACCGGCGACCGCATGCTGGTTGGCCGCAGCCCTGCCACGTGCATGCTAGTTCATGCAGCCAACGAGTTTCGCATTTAGTTTTGGATTTATTTCAGGATTTCCGGCGATGCACACTCAGTGGGAGGAGACGGGAACCCGTCGACGACGAGGCGCCTACGGTGACTTCATAAATCTCAAGATGATATGCCGGTTCAGTCTTTCGGAGATGCTCATAGGATAGGGTGTACGTGTGTGCGTTCATAGGGGTGAGTGTATGCGCGTGTATATGAGCGCTTGCGTCTGTACTGATGTTAAAAAAAAGGCAACGAGTGTGCCGGTTCTTGTGGCATCTGTAAAGAAAGTGATCTAAATGCTTTTATATTTTTTTTACAGAAGTTATAGAGGGAGTACTTGATGAAATGTCTAATCACGATCTGAACATTTTGAGGGGTGTAATTGCATACCCGGGCATATAGGTGGTCAAAGCAGACACACCCAAACCCAGTCCGAACATATAAGGGATCGAATTAGCCCTGAAAATCAAAACATATAAATGCTCTAAGAGGTGAAACCTGTGGGCTCGTGGCCGCCTGTCAAAATCAAAACATGATTTTGCCCTGAAAATATATATCAAAACATGATCTATAAATAAATCTAGAAATGGCAGGACCAAATCAATATAGCCTCCCCCTCAGTTTATACCAAAATTTGAAGTTGACAATCAGCAAGTTTGTGCCATCGCAGCGGATTCGGCTGCTTGTGCACTTGAGCTGTTGCAGTGTACCCCAGCTTAAATACAATATACATGGTAACCGTAGAAAGATACCCGTCATCTACGGAAAGAATGGTGAAACATATTACTTGTACAAAAGAATGGCCTTTGACCAGTATTGGAACGTAGTCTCCATGGATTGATCATCTAGAAGCAGCCGCCGTGTTGCACAGATCAACGAGATGCTTTACACTATTGTTGTACTGCGAGGCAACCTCAAGAATAAGTTTTGGTAAAGAGAGCTTGTGATGCTTCCACTGGATTTACTCATCCTCTAAGAACATCGCGAATTTGCGGACAGGTTACTCAACAAGGCAGGCAGCTATTGCTTGTACTGTCCATTGAAGAGATGTGAACGAGTGAAAGCCGAGGAGGGTCCGAAGATACCCGATTTGCCCAAAAATTGGCAACTTTAACAAAATAGTGATTACCGTTCCACACAACCACTTCCCCTCCTGCATTATGTGAAGAAAAAGTAACTAATTAGTCAGCAGAGTGAGGCATCTTATAATATAGCTGAAATTTCCCTTCCTGGCAAGAATGTATTACCTTGTAGAAGACCAGTTGGCAGAAGTGTTAGTCGGCATGTCAACTCGTTGTTGGCAAGAAAATGTTGAAAATTGGCCACTTCAAGTTCATTAATACTGATGATGGACTCCAGAAGAGCTTTACCAGCGGGTGCAGCTAAGTGATTGCTGTCAACAACTGTTTTAAGAGCTGTTTCTAAACCACTAGTCCATGCATTAATGCAGCTGTCCCAACAAGCCAACATTTTACTAAACATCCCGGGATCCGCAAGAACCCAAGGCTTGAAATACTGCAATGACAAATGCAAGAGGTGTGCAACTCTGTAGATCTCCCCAAGAGCAACAAACCAATTTGCACCTATACAATCAACAAATACCAGATTTATGGTTAATCTTCTACCTTTGAACACAAATGATAAAAGTGCCACCCATTGATCGAAATATCTGTACCTTCAGAAACTACTAGATCATGGACTTTCGCATGACAAGATTCTTGCCAAAGCACTGCTCCATGCTGCAATTCCTGAGCACAGGAAAGAAACATACTGTACCATGCGGCGACATAATCGCATTGCTCCTCTTTGGATGCTAGTCCTAAGGTATGTAGGGTTGACACACTATGCTTGTAAAGTTCAACTGCCAAACTCATGTCATGCTGTGCCTATATTTAAGTACTGGATTAATAACCCAAACAAAGATCAAATCATGACTGAACAAGAAGCAGATGGTAACATGGTAGACAGCAAGATCAGCTGCACATAATTCTACACTAAAGCAACAAAAATAATTACATCTAATCTATATATCACTTCAGAGGGTAAGAATGGTGTGGATTACAGAACTGTTCAAAGAAAGCACTACTCAAATCATTTTTCACCTTCCATTATTACTGTATACACAACAATGAAGGACGTCCAACAAAGAGAATCAAGTGTACTGATCTTGATTTTACTGTCGGGGCCCCTCCCCTACAGTTTTCAGTTCAAAAAAAGAAAAGAAAAAACACAAGGCGAAAAGAATGATCTGTGCCAGTCTTTTTCGCTGATAACAGTAGGATGAGTCCTTAGTCCTTACTAAGATGTATTGATAACGAGCAGATAATTACATATTCCTGAGGAGCAAGGATGATACATACCAGTGCTATTTTCTCTGCTAAATGATAGTGCTGCTCAAAATCCTTTATGTGTTCCTCTTTGGTACTGTTAAGCAGTCCAGAAATACTCTCATCCCTCAAAGGCTGTTCCTCAATGCGAAATCCTTCTGCCAGCGAAGAATCTCGTAGTTTCTCCCAGATTTCCTGGAAATTGTGAAAAATGGATCAGTTCAATATTTAGGCCAAATAATGCTTTCTCTGCAGCACATAAGGCAACATATATTAAATTCACAAGACAAAGCTAATATAGAAAAACATAAGTAGTGCATACCTGGATCTCCCTTTCGATTGCTGTCTCTTTTTTGTTTCCATCAGAATGTGCAGAACTCTTCTGGGCCTCCTGATACCATACTAATAATTACTGAATGACAAACGGTAAAAATACCAAAGATGTATGTACTAAATGTAATGAGTAGTGATTGACCTTAATATCCTTATTATACCGGAATATCATTGCCATGGATTCTTCTCTCAGCTTATGGTAGAAATCAACCAAAATATTGTCGCTTCCTGATTTAATGGAATGGTTTTCATCTGTTCCAAACGAAGAGTTCTGATCACTGATCATTAGCACACATCAAAATAAATTAACGGTATCCACTGGTAACTTAAAATACCATGAAATACTCACCACTTCATTGTTAGAGAACATATCAGAAGAGCTGACTACACTTTCGGAACAACTTTGAGGAACTTGAACAGCATCGACAAATTTAGATTCTTTGTACAAGTTGAGTATGGATGAACTATTATCTGGAGAATAGCTGAAGGTCTTCACACTTTGTCCTGTGGACTCATGATTTCTGACATGATCTGTAGTCTGGAGGTTCAGTTCATTATTGACACCAGTAAATAGTGACCAATCTTTCTGGTCGCTGCCCAATGATTTTGGCATACCCTGAGAGTATGAAAAGATTTAGATCGAACCAGATCAGGAGAAGGGAAATAAAGTCTAGAAAAAAACTGGCAGCAAGGTGGCTAAAGATATCGTCAGAGCCTTAGAGGTATATACAACAACAACAACAACAACAACAACAACAACAACAACAAAGCCTTTAGTCCCAAACAAGTTGGGGTAGGCTAGAGGTGAAACCCATAAGATCTCGCGACCAACTCATGGCTCTGAGCCTTAGAGGTATATGTTCCTATTAAATAAAATGAAACGACTCATGGCAAGCATGACCTCCATTTTTACTAGGAATTATATAGAATACTGAATTAATGTCCAGGTCTAAAACTATAACCATGAAGGTGCGAGTTAGAGCTTTATACACCTCCGTTCCTAATTATAAGATGTTTTGGATATTTCAATATGGACTACATACTTACTAAAATGAGTGAACAAACACACTAAAACGCGTCTATATACATCTGATTCAGAAGAAAGTTAGAACATCTTACAATTTGAAATGGAGGTAGTACTAGTTACACCTTATTCCCCAGACGAACAGTTTACATGGGACAGAATATTACCCCTTGAAGTAGTCTGACTGTTTTACTTAATTGCCACAATCATGTGATTTATTGTATTTGATTAGCTCTTAGGTTACAGTTCCGGACGGGGCTTAGCAACGAATTTTCTACAGTGGGTTAGCTTTGGTCGCTAGCAGCAAATTAGTAAGAAATAAACATCCCGCACATGCCCTACTTCACAAGCTAGCTCACTCTCTTTACCAAATACGGAGTACATTTATCAGGTCGGTTGTCCAGCTGATGCAATAGTTTCAGATCACGTTGATATCAAAATCTCATGAAAATTTACAAAGACAGCTATGAAGAGAAGGGATCACTACAGGAACAAATCATAAGCTTACCTCAATTCCACCTCCGTCCGCTTGTCCGGCTCCATCCTGGCCGGCATCAGACGAGGGGGCAGCCTTGAATTCCCAACCGTCATCTCCAAACCCGTCATCGTCCACCTCCTCCAGCGCACCCGGCTGTGGTGCGTCGGGGGTGGGCGGAGGCTGAGATCCGTAGAGGCCGACGATGAGGTCCTTGAGATCCGCGGGGCTCGAGGCTTTGGATCCGAACGACGGTGCCCGCTGGTGCACCGTGGACGTGGGCGGCGGCGGCCCGACAGGCACTTCATCCTTCTCCTCCTCCTCCTCCTTGCCATCGGCTCCAAACAGGGATAAGGGGAGCGGGCCCCGGGGCTTCTCCCAGGCGCCGGCGGCTGGCTTGCCCGTAGGCGGGATGGCGGGTGCGGACAGGCCATCCGGGCTGAATCCGAGGGAGCTCGCCACAAAGTCGCCCCAGTCGTCGTCGAAGGCCGCAAAAGTAGCCGGCTGCGGAGCCAGAGGTGCAGGCTGGGGCGCAGCAGGGGCGAAAGCGAAGTCGCCGAAATCGAAGTCGTCGTCGAGGAAAGGGGCCGGAGGCGGCGGGAACGCGACGGCGTCCATTGGGGGAGGGTTGGTTGGGGTGGGCGCCGGGAATGGGAAGGGGGAGGCGAGTCCCTTCTGGCAAGGCAATGGTATCGGAAGCAGTTATTATGCTAAGGGAAATGTTGGGATTTTCCTTTTCTAAGAAGGGAAAGTTTATGGGTAAACTGCCCTGTTGCCGTCTGATGGGGAAATTCTCAAGTGAGGATTGAGTTGCCTCCAGCTAACGATTTGTTCGCTATGGTGGGGCAGCGTGACCTCTATAAAATTGCATCCTCTAATAAATCATGGCAAATCAAAAAGAGAAATTGTTTCTCAAAAAAGCATGAGAAATTTTTTAAAAAAAATGTTGTCATCACATAGCCAGATTTAACCCCAAAAAGAACGTTTCATAAATAGATAATCGCGAACAAGATTAAAGGGAAAATGTGGAAAAGTCAGATAATTGCCATGGTATCTTCAAATATTTTGCCATGGAATGTTCAAAACAAGTTTCTGATGGTATGCTCAATAATAATTGCCATGCCATCCAATTTTGTTTACCATGGTTTGTTGAATAAAATTTCCATGGTGTAAACAATGAATTTGCCATAGTCCAAAATCTTTACCTAATAATAAAGCACCGACCGCTTCTGCCGGCTAACCGTCGCGGCATTTTTGCAAAAAAGTCCATGTACTTTTTGGTCTTCAATCCGCAGTCCCCGCTGTCACAAATCATGGGGAAAATATATGCCAAACGAGATTCAAACCCCTGACCTCTCATGGTTGACTTACGTGAGTCAATCAACTGAGCTATCACATGTTCGTGAATAGACATGATTCCTTTCAAAATAGTACTAAAGGTTACTTGCATGGCCCTTTTTTAATCAACTCGTTGGGCCTATTTGACCATCAAATAACCATTGCTAGGCCTTTTCTGGGCCCCGAGCCACATAAGAAAAACGCAATCTCCGGTCCAACAGGCTGCAAAGCACGGATATTTCATGTGAAATAATCCCACCTCGCTTCTTTAAGACGATTCCCACCAGTTTATATGGATTAGCAAAGTTGATTGTAATATCAACAAGACACCTACAAAAAAGAAAGGTGACAACGGACGAGAAGGTGATCAAAACCGTTGAAAGGAAGGATGGATTCTGGATGTGTTGCACCATGCAAAGAGGGACATGTGCGCTGACATGTGGGCTAAAAGAATTAACTTGACTAGGATTGTGTGTGGGCTGGAAGGAACATGCAAGGAAGGAAGCAAGAACATGAATTCTAGGGCTGCAAAGAGGGGCGGACTGCAAGGAAGGAAGCAACGACGTGTGTTCTAAAAGAACTACGAAAGATTGTGTGTGTGGGTTTGAAGGAACATGCAAGGAAGGAAGCAGGGGAACATGAACTAGGTGAATGTCGTTGGTGTTTGACCTGATGCGATTCATGGCGCCGCTGATGTCGTCGATGTTCGCCCCGCTCGATGTTCTTTGGCCAGATCGTCTTCCATAACCCCAACCCATATGTCCTAGAGGCTGGCTCCTTGATTATTTTCAGCGACACACACATCTTACTCGACAGGCCATCATCTCCACTTTTTTCCCAACCGTCGTTATTGAAAGGATCGACTCTCTCTCTCTCCACTATGGCCCAATAAGGCCCATACACTTACCGGGGGGTTCCGGTAACCTCCCGGTACTCCGGTAAAATCCCAATTTCCCGGAACTATTCCGATGTCCAAATATAGTCATCCAATATATCAACCTTTATGTCTCGACCATTTCGAGACTCCTCGTCATGTCTGTGATCATATCCGGGACTTTGAACTTCCTTCGGTACATCAAAACACATAACTCATATTACCGATCGTCACCGAATGTTAAGTGTGCGGACACTACGGGTTCGAGAACTATGTAGACATGACCGAGACACGTCTCTGGTTAATAACCAATAGCGGAACCTGGATGCTCATATTGGCTCCCACATATTCTACGAAGATGTTTAGCGGTCAAACCGCATAACAACATACGTTGTTCCCTTTGTCATCGGTATGTTACTTGCTCGAGGTTCGATTGTCCGTATCTCAATACCTAGTTCAATCTTGTTACCGGCAAGTCTCTTTACTCGTTCTGTAATGCATCATCCCGTAACTAACTCATTAGTCATATTGCTTGCAAGGCTTATAGTGATGTGCATACCGAGAGGGCCCAGAGATACCTCTCCGATAATCAGAGTGACAAATCCTAATCTTGATCTATGCCAACTCAACAAGTACCATCCGAGACACATGTAGAGCACCTTTATAATCACCCAGTTACGTTGTGACATTTGGTAGCACACAAAGTGTACCTCCAGTATTCGGGAGTTGCATAATCTCATAGTCATAGGAACATGTATAAGTCATGAAGAAAGCATTAGCAACATACTAAACGATCAAGTGCTAAGCTAACAGAATGGGTCAAGTCAATCACATCATTCTCTAATGGTGTGATCCCGTTAATCAAATGACAACTCATCTCCATGGCTAGGAAACTTAACTATCTTTGATTCAACGAGCTAGTCAAGTAGAGGCATACTAGTGACACTCTGTTTGTCTATGTATTCACACATGTACTAAGTTTCCGGTTAATAAAATTCTAGCATGAATAATAAACATTTATCATGATATAAGGAAATATATAAATAACAACTTTAGTATTGCCTCTAGGGCATATTTCCTTCAGTACCGTGCCGCGGATGCACCTGTGCGAGCACAGGGCAGCCCATCTCCTACGGTAGTACCATGGCTTGCCACGGTAGTACCGTAAACCCAAGAAAGTGCATGTTTCGACAAAACAGAGAAACACGGCCTTTGCAAAGCAACCTTCAAGCAACCGGACACTAAAACGAGCACATACACAAGGCAACTCAAACACAAACACGGCTCAACAAGAAAGCAAAAGACAACGAGGAGCGAACACGAGCCAAAACCTCTCTAGAGGAGAGCGTGGTGGCTGAAGGCACCTATATTTGGGTCAATTGGTGTGGCACCGCGAAGAATTATCCTTGGGCCCATGACCAAAACTCGTCTTTGAAGCACAAGTACCATCAAGAATGGCTGATGTGAAAGAGTTGATCATTTTTCGCATAATGGGGGAGGGAGAGTTCATTGAGAGAACAACACTCCCCCTATGTCCATGCCTACACCTAAACAAGATATCAAGATGAGTATGGTGGGGTGTGCACGGGTTCAAGCTACATTGCTCGAATCAATGATATTTAGCTCATGCCTTAACTCACGAAATCTTGCTTCATCCAAGGGCTTCGTGAAAATATCTGCAAGGTTATCATGAGTGTTGATATATTTGAGCTTGATCTCGCCTCGCTTAATGTGATCCCGGATGAAGTGATACCGAATCTCAATATGCTTCGTCTTGAAGTGTTGCACCAGGTGGAGAGAGATCTTGATGGCACTTTCATTGTCACACCAAAGAGGCACTTCGTCACAAGTGACACCGTAATCCTTTAAAGTTTGCCTCATCCATAGAAGTTGAGCACAAAAACTACCGGCGGACACATACTCCTCTTCGGTGGACGAGAGAGACACACAACTTTGATTCTTAGAAGACCAACTCACCAAAGAGCAACCAAGAAATTGGCACCCTCCGGAGGTTAACTTCCTATCCACTCTGTCTCCCGCCCAATCCAAGTCTGAATAGCCAAAAAGGTTGAAGTTGGCTCCTCTTGGGTACCATAAGCCAAAAGTTTGGGGTATGAGCCAAATATCGAAAGATTCGCTTGACCACCACATAGTGGATTTCCTTAGGTGCAGCTTGAAACCATGCACAAATTCCCACACTCAACATGATATCCGGTCTAGATGCACAAAGGTAAAGCAAGGAGCCAATCATGGAGCGATATACCTTTTGATCCACCGCTTTACCATTGGGATCTATGTCAAGTTGGCACTTGACGGGCATTGGAGTGGAAGCTGGCTTGACATAACTTAGCTTGAATCTCTTGAGCATGTCTTGAGTGTATTTGGCTTGGTTGATGAAGGTTCCTTCTCTTCTATTCTTGATTTTGAACCCGAGAAAGAACTTCAACTCTCCCATCATGGACATCTTGAACTTCGAGGTCATGAGAGAGACAAACTCCTCATTGAAAGCTTTGTTAGGGGAACCAAAGATAATATCATCAACATATAGTTGCCATACAAACAACTCCCCTTTGACCTTCTTAGTAAAAAGATTGGGGTCGATTTTCCCAATTTCAAACCCATGATCTTGCAACAACTCGGTAAGGTGCTCATACCACGCACGTGGGGCTTGTTTAAGGCCATAGAGTGCCTTATCGAGTTGGTACACATGATTTGGGGACTCGGGATCCTCAAACCCCGGGGGTTGTTTGACATACACCAAGTCATTAATAGGACCATTAAGAAAGGCACTCTTCACATTCATTTGTTGCAACTTGAAGTTATGATGAGAGGCATAAGCAATCAACAAACAAATAGATTCGAGGAGAGCAATGGGAGCAAAGATTTCGCCGTAGTCGATACCCTCGACTTGGGAGTAGCCTTGTGCTACCAAACGAGCCTTGTTGCGAACGATAATCCCATGAGCATCTTGCTTGTTCTTGAATATCCACTTGGTTCCAATGACATTATGGTTCCGCGATGGCCTCGGCACCAATCTCCACACCTTGTTGTGCTCGAAGTTGTTGAGTTCTTCATGCATGGCATTGAGCCTATCCGGATCCTCTAGCGCCTCATAGACCTTTTGGGGTTCAACACAAGAAACAAATGTGTGATGTTCACAATAGTTTGCCAATTGTCTACGAGTGCTTACCCCTTTTCTCAAATTTCCAAGCACATTCTTCATAAGATGGTCTTTGGTAGTGATCTTGGGAGCAATCTTGGTGGCACGACGCTCCAATTCCTCCTCAAGAGAAAGTTGAGGAGCGGAAACATGAACATCTTGAGCATTGTCTTGAGCTTGTTCTTGATCTTGAGCTTCCTCTTGATCTTGAACTTGCTCAGGAGGGAGAACTTGACCTTGGGCATC